CTGGTTACCCCGTCAGTTGACGGTGGAGTGGGCACCTGTGCAGGCGGTTTAGTGACTGGAGCGTTAGGAACAGGATCGTTGCCACCCTCTGCCCCAGTTTGTGGTGGGGCGACCGGCCAACCAAGGGCTGAAGCGACGTCAATTTTCTTGTACTGTAAGCCGTTTTTGTTTGGGCACGCCACTCGATAGTGACCGGCCGTTCGGCAGCCTATGCACCAAGAACCATCTTCATGATTTGTCCGGACAGCAACAACCTTGCCGCGGATGCGAATTGTGTTAGGCATCAACTTTTTTGTGACCAGGTCGTCTTGCGTCTTTTCTGACAAGAACGGTGCCCGTACAATTGCCGTGTACTGTCCTGCGTTGTCAATGGAACCGTGGCCGTCATGGTGATGGACCAAAGCGGCGCCCATCAGTGTGACCGGTTCCGACCACACGCAGTCGACCATCGCCTGTATCTCGTCGACTGTGTAGACGCGAGATTGGTGCTCCGGTGGCGCAGTCCAACGTAGCTCGTAAACGTCGCGTTTGCGAGCAGCTGGCATCGTAATTGTTGCCGGGAGATCTTGCAGTTTGAACGGGTCACATGCCGCTGCCTTCAGCATGTCTTCCTGTTTGGCAAAAGTCAATTTGACGGTGATGCACATCTTGCCGTCAACTTTTGTGGGGCTGCATGTCGAGGCTACGATGCCTGACGTCTTGGCTTGTCCGTCCATTCCAATAGGGCTGATAAAGACCTGTCCAGGTTGACGAGGCTCATAGTATTTATTGACTGCCATGCGCAGGTCCCATGCTGGCCGTGCGCCGCGTCCGATCGAATGCGGGATTGTGACCAGCAGTTCGTTCTCCAACAAGCTGATTGCCGACGTCGACGGTGGGCTGACTTGTGTGCACGTGCGCAAGACATTCCAGTCTTGCCACGTCTTGTTGACTGTTGGATCGGTGTAGATGATGTGGAACAGCATGCCGCCGTTCACGATCGCGCCCTCGCTACCGACGAGCGCCATGTTGTTGAGGTAGTTTCGTAGTTGATTGGTGAGTTGTTGTTGTTGTTGTTGTCGCTTTTCCTCCTCCTGCTTTCTTTGTAAAGCCGCCTCTGCGGTCCAGAAACTGTTGGGCGTTCCCGTCCCGCCCCGCGCGGGATCGGGCGGGCGCCGCACCATGCTTGACATGGGCGCCATGATTGGTATGTTGCTGTTGATGTTTTTTGCTGTTGTGTTTTCTGTTGTTCAGAAAGTGAAAGTGAAAGTGAAAGTGAAAGTGAAAGTGAAAGTGAAAGTGAAAGTGAAAGTGAAAGTGAAAGTCCGCGGACTTGATTTTCTTTGAATGCACGATTATGTACATTGTCAATCTCCAAATTTTGAGCGGTTGCATGGTGTAGTTGGTTATCACGTATCCTTAACACTTCGTTGTAGACGGATAAGGTCTGCGGTTCGAACCCGCATGCGATCATTCTTTTTTTGGTATCATTTTGTCTCGCTCTACTGCCTCCGCGCAAAGCTTTCTAGGCGGCGGCGGCCAGGAGACTATTCATTTTGTATTTTATTATGAGTCGCTTGAGCTCACTTCTGACCAGTGGAGCGCGGGCGTCAAGTGAGCGCTGCCTCGAACATAAATGTTTCGCTCCTTAGAGATAATTTATTGCTAGGCTGCGAGACACTACTGATTCAACGAAGCAAGACAGCTACTCGTTGCTGGATCAAGATGGCCGTCATGTCCCACGTCTGTGTCCTCTATTCCGCAGATCCTAGTGAGCTGTTGCAAGCTTCGTCCGTCTCATCGGTGTGCACCTCTTGCCCCGGGCTCCCTGGGAGAGCCGACAGCTGAACCCAATTCTGCGCTGCATTCCTTCTTTGATTGGAATCTCCCTTCTGCGTGTGCTAAGGGTTGGCAATCGAGCTCATCCCACGTTTCCTCGCCAACCGCGTTTTGTTGCAAATGATTTGCTCCCCGGTCGTGTACCCAAGAGCTGCTCATTCTGAAACTGTGGCCAACCTTGGCCTCACGCCCACTGTCGCACAAGCGGTGCGATACTTTGAGCGAGCCGAGTTGAGCAAGGCAGGAATGTCGACGTCCATGGCCGCGGCTTTTGCTTGCTCTGACTCGTTGAGCATTGGAATAGACTCGATTGATTCCAGCAAATGCTGCAAGGTGACATGCGACCTGCGAACGAGATGCACATCAGCCTTGACTGAACGTCAGAATGTCTCGGCCGTTTGAACCAGCTCACTCACCGTGAAGACGAGGCACCCTGAGATTCAATGATCATCAACAGTAAACGTGCTGTGCCCTCGTAGTGGCCGAGCTCAGTCCACATGTCCCAGGCTTTCTCGCGACCGAGGGCGCGTCCTTCGAACAGCCCGTGCAATGAGCCATGAGGTTGTCCAGCATTGTAACCAGCTGCGTAGAATTGCTGCTCAAGAGTGATGAGAGACGCCTCGAAGTCCTCGCCAACTTCGGTCATTGCGAGCGGGCGAGAAGGGAATCACACGGCGGCGCTCGACGCTGAGATCGCTTTGACCCTGACCTCGCCACCAACTGCCCTAGACACGATGTCGAGGTATGCACGAACGAGAAAGCGTGTAATTTCAGAGCATGTATCACTGTCTACCTACGCTCGTGATCTGAAACGCGAGCGTCATACTTCAAGTCAACTGCGCGGACTGGTGGCACGAACGGATCTTCGCGAGCCTCATTTCGTTACGTACAACTCAGAACGCGGAAGAACAAGTGAGCTTGGGTCAGATGCATGTCAAGGTATCAACTGAGCACGGCACATCATGATTAGCAGCGCTTGTACTCGGCGTCTCAGGTGCATTGACGATTGGTCGCTCACGCCGATGCGACGTGACAATTGCGTCTCGTGCTGTGTCACATCTTCATTGTCGATTGTATTGCGTAAGTACACGTTAGCAGCTGATAACACCAGGGTTACTGCCAGATGCTCAGACGTTGTCATTGCTGATGTCACCGCTATACCCGGGCCCCCGGGCCGCAAATCAGTTCGAATCTGATGCAGGAAGCTTGATTGTTTGTGCGCAGGACATGTCAAAAAACGGCACTGTGCACAACGCGCGGACTCTCAAACACACCAGCGCAGTCATGACAGACGGAGATTACCTAGAGATCGCCGGACAGGTTTTTCGTTTCTATCAACCGTCTGCAGCGATGGATGCTTCAGTCAAGTCCAGAAATGGGAACAGCTCAACGACAAACGAGCTGCAAGGCTCAACGTTCCGCATTGTGTCTCACTATCTTGTTTCCGACACTCGGCTTGGGGGCGGCGCTTGCGCCACCGTCACGCTCGCTCTCAACTTGAAAGTCAGTACAAGTCCTTGCGCGCATCAGTGCACTACTGACCGTCAGGTTGCTGGAAAATTCCGTCTAGACGCTACGTCAGGTGGCATGCAAGCAGATTGGCACCTCGTCGGTCAATGTAAACAATCTCAGAACGTTGCATAGGGAGATCGCCCTTTTGCACGACGTAAAACACGCGAGTCCATCCAGCTAAACCGACAAGGCGAATTCGGAGTGAGGTCTCGCCGAGCTGACCTTCAACAAATCGACAGGCCAACATTAACACCTTTGAGAGTGTCGCAGAGCAGAGTGATCGTTTGTAAGCGTGGTTTCAAAACAAGCAGCTTGCCGATTCTGTACCAGACAACTTGCTGATCAAGAAGATCCACTCGATAGGTTCATATTTCTGGAACTGTGAGCCACCATATTTCTGAGAGCAGCAAGCGCGATGAACATCTGAAAGTGCGGTTGTTATTACGAGAAAGCTTGCCAGGTGGCGATTTGTTCTCGTACCTGGCGCCAAAGGGGACTCTGAGCTTTGCGGAAGCAATGTGGATTGCTTTCCAGCTCTTCAAAGCGCTCGAGTACCTGCATAATGATGCTAACATCGCTCATCGCGACGTCAAGCTTGAGAATATCGTGTTAGCGACGCCAGGTCCTTTTCCCTGGGTGAGCTGTGAGCTGGACCCATCATTTCGGCTCTATTTGACAAGCAATCCTTCAACCCAGATTGAGCTCGCAGACTTTGGACAAGCTCGATCATGCGCACGCGTGTTCACTTCACTCAAAGGCACGATGACCTATATGGCACCCGAGCAACTGGAGGGTTTCCGTCGCAGAGCAGGTAAGATGATCGCTACCGAGAGTCCGGCGATGGCCTCTGCAGCTTTTGAGCCAATTCAGACGTCCTGTCAGGTTACGATGGCACAAAATCGGACTGTTGGAGTGCTGGGATTGTGATTGCCACGGTTCTGCTTGGCTAGTAAGTGCAAAGGACAGGCATGCCGATCGGTGCGACCGCAATCAGCTCACGATGAGCTGGCTGGGCGATGGCGGTGCAGCCACCCATTCGAGCCTGTCAACCTTTCGCAAACCCCCCAGAAACGCGAACTGGAGCAGCTCTTGGGAACCAGCAGCACCACTGATTTTGGCACAATCCGAGATGTTACCGTTTGCCTGTCAGTCTTGCAAGCGCAGCCAAACATATCGATTCTTGCTCAAGAATGCCAAAGTGGGGCTCAAGGTAAGCAAACTTCTGTGCCTCAAAGTTCGCCAAAGATTTGGCTGCGAGCCAGTAGTTGACCAGACTTCGTGATACCATTTATCCTTGGGAAAGTGAGCGCGTTTGTCAAATCGCTGCTTGAAAAAGATCCCGATTGTCGCGCGACGGCGAAGCAAGCCCTTGGATCCGAGTGGCTCACAAGCGCTCAAGATTTTCTCGACAAACTGCATTCAGGTGGTCGTATTGAGAAGTGACCGTGAGACCACCATAGACCGCTTGACTGTTGCCATATCATGATCAGCTCAAAGCCACACTGTCGCCCCAGTTTATCTCATCCTCGACCTCTCGCCCGCGGACATGACGGCCAGAGGCGACCCGCTTTCGTTCACGGTCAACAGAGCCAAGCTTAACTCCAAGTTCGAATCCTACAAGCTTCGATTACCATCTGAAGATCAACAACCACGTCGTTATCGACTGCCGCGACCTTTCAGGCTTGCCAGTGCACCCGACCACATCCCGCTGTCTTACGCAGAGACCCAAGCACGGGCTGAGCACAATCATTTAGTGACCGGCCTTGATGGCAATCTGGCTTTCATCGACTGTGCGCTCCGGTTTCACGCGATCGAGGTCAAGTCGGTCAGTGCAACAGTCAGCCCGGGCCGGGGTGTTTGCATGCAATTTCTTTTCTGACATGCTGCCTTTGCATCCGCTCGCTCAGCTCGATGAAGTCATAGTGCACGAGCTCGTACAGTTGCCGGCGGCTCAAGCCTCATCGTCCAAAATTGCAGCTGATTATCCGGTTGCGATACCTCTGTCGGCTTCGACTTGGTGCATCTCGGATGGTGTGTCGACTCTGTACATCGTCGAAATTGTCAGAGACGATCCTCGGGCATGGAAAGGCGTCATCAAGGCTCAAAGTGGCAACATGTCTGGAGTGGGACACAATTCTAACGCATTGAGCTTGAGATTGCTTGCGGCGTCGGCAACAGAAGGTGGCGAGACAATCGTCATCGTCACATCTCCAGTCAAGACTGCTCGACCGTCGTCTCAGCCAGCATGTAGCTCGACTTGCTTCGCCATTGCATGCTTTCGCTTGGCTGAAAGCGCAGATGACAAGGGATGCCTCGAGCCGATTGTGACGTGGAAGCGCTACAGCGATAGCATTCCCTTTGTCACTGCTTTGAACGTCAAGCATCAGCGCGCCATGTTTGCCGGATCGCACCCGCTCTCGTCTCGAACAACATCGTCTGCGCGAGAAACCCTGGAACAAGCGAATGAGCATGGCACCGATTTTTCGACGGTTCCAGCCATGCGGACAACAGCGAATCCGAGCCTTTCACCACCAGCATTCTCATGGCTGCAGGACACCGACTCCTTGACGCTGGCTTTCGCGTTGCCATCCATCACACCGACCTCAAGCATCAGAATTGTCTTCTCGCGGCAGCACGTAACGGTTCACATTGCCAAACCTTCTTCGGCAGCATCCTCAACATCGGTGCACGATCACAGTCTGCCTCAGCTGTCGCACAAAAAGCTGTGGGACGAGATTGATCCTCACACAAGCATCTGGACTTTTGATCGAGAAGCCGAAGGCCGTGATTCAACATTTGGCTTGTTGACTTTGCACCTCGAAAAGAAGAACGCAGGAACAAAATGGATGCACGTGTTTGAGCCGACAATCACAACGCCTGGTGCAGTAACTAATGACGAGAAAGTTCGCGAGCTGACAGAAGAAGAAGCTCAGACAGAATTTGAGCGCGTTGCCGAAACGCTCGACCCGTCCGAACTGGCGAAGATTGTCGAGCAGATGGAACAATGGACACAAACCTTGTCGACAGCAGAAATGGGCGACGCACGCTCAATGAATGAGGTTCACAGCAGTCTTTTGGGAGAAGAGATCGATGCCGAGCTTGACGCGGACTCTGGACGGCCC